AAGGGTGTGTGATAGAAGTTTCCAGAGTATGCACCCTGTATTTTAAAGAAGAACATTTAATTATTTGCGATACATTATTCATTCACAAAGAATTCAGGGACATTATTCATTTCCCTAAAGGTTGGAGTTTTCCACATTTTTTTAATTAAGGCATTAGGATTTTTTATTCCTCTTTTTAGTCAACTTTAGCATGGGTGTTTTCACTTATTCTAAGCAGTGTGTGTGTGTGTGTGTATATATATAATTAAAAAGCAATTTTAACCAGAAACCAGTCCTTTGTTGGGTATCTTTGGATTATGTTGTGTTGTAAATAAATCCAAACAATCTAAAAGCCATTCTTTTTTAAATCTCCTCATTCTTTGTGCAAGGCTCCTCGTAATGGGGCCTGATAGCACCTAATAGGGCCATTATGGGGAGGGTCTTTGTCTTTCTCAGGTGTGAAATGCCATACATATTAATGAGAGATCACGCCTCCCTGCATAAAGCTTTCTCACACTAAACACGTCATACACATTCTAAAATACTTTATTGACTTATCTGAATGAGTAGTCAGGATGATTCTCACATAGTTTTGGAGCAAATATTCTAGACTATGTGATACAATTTTCAAAAGTCTTGTGAAGAAATAATCAATATGTGTTTTGTGGCCTTATTTCAGAAACTTTTATTTTTAAGTTTTTCAATAACCATGCATAAATAATATTCTCTCAAAAATACAAACATGTAAATACATGTTGCTCAAAGATTATGGTAGCCCCGTTTGTGCTATATAGAGTGAATTTACACCGTTGCCATTAACATGTTTATAAATAACTGAAAAAAGCACAAATGTCAGTGCATGTCAAAACATCCCAAGGGCCTCAAAAAACCCTTGGTCCCCAGAGGGTTAAATCTGAGCGCTGGATCACTCCTCCATTGGCTTCTTCAGGGATCGAAACTGTACAACCTACGTTCACGGCTCCGGCAGACTGAGAGGTCGTGAGAGAGCTCGTGGGACATGAGCCAGCGCTGGTCTCAGATCAGTCTGGAGTTTCTCAGGAACTGAATGAGCACTTTGTAGATGATGCTGGTGCTTCTGGTGCTTGTGCTTGTGCTGATGCTGCTGGCTCGTCCTCTTCTTGGTCACACACTGCTGAACTCGACCCTGGTGTCTCCTCAGGGATGGAGGCGATTAGGACGGGGGGTTGGTGGAGTGGCTCTGTCCCAACACCTCATCCATGAGGACAAACCAGGGCGGAGTTCAGCAGTGGGTTTCCCACTCACACCCTCACCTGTCCCAGGACACTTGCAATCCTGAGGCAGAGCAAATAAAGCATGCCTGTTAACAACAACAACAACAACAAACAAACAACAACGACACAATACATTTAAACAAAATATCTGTCAAACTTATATATATTTTTTAAGTTGTTCCATTTTTTTTGTCCTGCATGAGTCACCTTCCCCAGCAGGTCCATTTTCTCTAGAATTCTCCTAAAACAAAACAAAAGGGAAACACTTATGAAAAATATTAAGACAGGAGTGCCATCTTAAAGGACAAGTTGGGTATTTTACACTTAAAGCCCTGTTTTAAGATCGTTTCTGATGAAATAGAACGGTTAAGATTGAAATTTGGACACATGCTGCTGTCCTGAGAAATTTCCCCCCCACCTCCACAATGGTTGCATAGGTGCACAGAAACAATCCTTCCTAAAACGCATTAAACTTTAGTTTACAAAGACGTTAAACTCACCGAGTGGTCAGGGGTGTTCACTGATATGCTCACACAAAAATCGCTGCAAAAGATGCTTTCCAACAGGTTTTATCGTAATTTTTAAGTCAAGTCAATGGAGTTGGACAAAAACTATGATAAAACCTGTAAAAAATATCCATATAGTATTTTTTATTTATTTATTTAATATGGATATAGTAATAACATTGGACGAACCAGATGCATAAAGTGTTATAGCACATGTGCTAATTTTCAACACCTGTCCATATTGGCTAAAAACACATTGTTAAACAAGACAAGGCACATTTTACACATGAGAACAACTTTGGCCCGATTTAAGCCACTGTTTGAGCTCTCTGGTAAAGATGTTAATATTGTTCTGCAGTTTGAATCCAATTGGGAGAGAGTTCTGTAGTGTAGCCCCTCTGAAGGAGAAGCTAGACTGTCCAAAAGATTTTCTAAACTTTCCTTTTCTCTGGGTTTATCTTTGTTTAATCTGAATCTTAACCTCTCTCTCTCTCTCTCTCTCTCTCTCTCTCTCTCTCTCTCTCTCTCTCTCTCTCTCTCTCTCTCTCTCTCTCTCTCTCTCTCTCTCTCTCTCTCACGACAGACAATATTTCTGCACAAATTCCTTTAAGGCTGATGAACTGCAGATGTATCGTGTGTTATCATACCGTACGTATGGACAGTTTAGACATCTGGATTAAAACCAGATAACTGAAACATCTTCACAGATGTGATGTATATGTGAAACAAGAGTGGTTTATGTGAAGAAAAGGTGCATGGAAAAGTAGATGTTCTGACTGTATGTATGTGTCATTTCTCTAGTGGTTATTGCATTCGATCCTAATTCACATATTTGTTCTGCATGCTAGAAGCGTGGTGGGATCTAAAACAGTGCACCAGTTTTGGCATAGTGTCTGTATACTAAATACTTTTATTGTTACCATGTAAAAGTTTAATTAAATGGATTATTGCTTCATATTATGTGGCACTTTTTCATTGCAGTTTTCATGTGCTGTGACATATCGGGATTAATAAAAGTTTGTGTTTGCATAATATATGTGTGTGTAGTGTACTGTGTATAATTATTTTGTATATATAAATACACACATATGCATGTACAGTATATATTTAAGAAATATTTGCATGTATAGGCTACTATATATATATATATATATATATATATATATATATAAATAATTAAAATATATATACATGCATGTGTACATTTGCATATACAAAATAGTTATACACAGTACACACACATATTATGTAAACACAAACTTTTATTTTGGATACATAGATAAAATGCATGTAAATTTTCCACTGATGTTGATGTTGAGTGAGTCATGTCACGTTTTCTGTTTTGCATCTCTCTCATTTGAATCTCTGGTGTCACTTACATCAGTGAGGACAGACTATTGTAATTTTAATATGTTGCAGTTCTGATAGTTATATTACTTTGAGTATTTGCTTCACCTAAAGTAATATAACTATCAGTGGTTTGAGTATTTGCTTCACCTAAAGTAATATAACTATCAGTGGTTTGAGTATTTGCATATTTACAAGTTAGCAGCACCAAGGTACATTTACAGTTACATTCATGCATTTGGCAGATGCTTTTATCCAAAGCTATACGCATTACATTCAAGGTACACATTTGTATTTTATAAGTTCTTGCTTTGACCCATGACCTTGGCGTCACTAGCACCATTATCTTCTGTTTGAGATACAGGAAAACGATAATAACCCAACATTATAGTTAAAAGTGTGAAAAAATAGATGATGTTAAAACCAAGAAGACTAACTCACTGCTGGTTAAAGTGGTCAACTTATGACATGCTTCATTAATTGGTAGCTTACAAATTTGCAGTCCCTGTTATTTTTCTAGTAATAGAAAGGAAACAGGCTTTTTTTTAGCTTAATTGTAAAGATGAACTTGATGATATTTGGACTGTTTAAACAATTTCACTTTCTTTACCAGAATGACCACAAACATGTGAGAGGCAGAAAGCCAAAGACGTTTTTATCAGCATCGCCGGTTTAATGTAAATATTATGCTTGAAAGTGTCTTTTCACCATATTTGGTTTAGCAATCTCATGACAACTATGATAAATCTGCTGGTTAAATGCTGCACATACACATTTCATACAAGTTCCCTTCAAATCATGTTGTGTTTGTAATGATGTTAAATGTGGTGACATTGCTGTTTCGATAATAAGATAAAGATGTTCACCTCTTAGTGCTCTTTGATCAAAGTTGCATTAAAGCTGCAGAGATGGTTTGAGTACCGTAAGCGCATCTGTGCTTAGCATTGATTATCTACAGGAACTTCCTCTAAACCAGCTCTTCCTGTTTATATTACAAGCTCTGCCCATTAACCGCAAGGGAAAAAGCTAAATTAAAATATTTACCAAATAGTTTATTGGAAAAAAGTATTTATCATTGCTGAAAGGTACTGCTGTAAACACTTGTAAGCGTAACCTTATCAAATATTTAGAAACGTGAAAATGTGTAGCCACTTACCACTAACAATTTGAAGATGACGTGTTGGTAAAGAATGACAGTAATTCACTTTGCGTGGCACAACATTTATACGAACAGCAATACCAGCAAATGTGTATATGCTGATGTACAGATATCAGAGCTCTACAGAAAATGCATCTCATGCAGGAACACCATCTTTGGCCAAAATTGTATGCGTCCTTTGGGAAGACAATCTCAGAATGCATTGCAACAACCTCAGAATTTATTTTTTTCAATACTGAAAAGTGCAGATAAAAATTGATTAAAAATAATATATTGTTGAAATTCAAGCCAGAAAGACTCTCTACAATGTTGTGCTTGTGCATTTAACCGTGGGTTATTCTTGCCTCATGTTAAATGTTAAGACACATTGTTTTCCTTTAGAATTAATTTTGGAGTCTGCATGTATAATCTTCATAATTCAGGGTTTCTACAGTCATGGAAAATCTGGGAATTTTAAAAGTGTGATTATTGTTATTATTATGATTAGGTCTACAAATAGGCTACTGTATATTCACACACACATAGATTTTTTAGATATGGCATTTTATATATGCACACACACGCACACACACGCACACATGCACGCACACACACGCACGCACACACACACGCAGCACACACGCACGCACGCGAACGCACACATGCGCACGCACGCACACACACACACACACACACACACACACACACACACACACACACACACATAAGAGTGGGAACCATAATTGCAACAATATTGGAGCCTCTATGTGCATTGATCATGGCTGTGTTGTAAAAATCCCGATCTAGTCTTTCTCGTATAACACAACAGGCTTGATTTGATTGGCAGTTGTCGTAGATGTTAAAACCGTCCGCTGTTGAGTAGTCACTTCCGAGGAGTGTTTTCTTCTGTTATAGATGCTGCTGACTTTCCTCTTGAAATAGTTTCCAGAGCAAACATAGAGCGCCGGATTCAGGCAGCTGTTTGAGAACGCCAAGTATACGGAAAACTGGTGTCCAATATTGAGAAAGTGGTTCCACATATCCTCATCCAAAACTTTCAGATCACAGAGTAGATCAATGAAAGCTACGAAGTGAAACGGACCCCAGCAGACGAGGAAGAACAGGGTGACGGCGCACACCAGGATTGTAGCCTTCCTGTCGTTTCTGTCTTCACAATTCACCTTGTCTCTCCTTCGCTTCAAGGCTCGGACGATGTTGCAACAGCAGAATGTGATGATCAGGAACGGCAGAGCAAAGCCCACCAGGTTTAGCTGCATATAGTGAGCTACTCTCCAACTTTTGCTGGGATAATCCAGGATGCATTCGACGGCTCGGTGAGCCGGAATGTCTTCCAGTTTTCGCATCCAGGCAGTCGGGAAACCCATTCCCACACCAAACAGCCAAAGAACAACACAAATGAGCTTAGCGTAGCGTTTCCGCCGCAGCCATCGAGCCTTCATGGTCAAGACGAGCGCAAGGTAGCGGTCCACGTTCACCATGACCAGCATGTAGATGCTGCTGTACATGTTGACGACGATGGAGAGGTTGACCACTTTGCACATGACCTCCCCATAAGACCACATGAAATAGTTAAGGATGTTCATGGCCCAAAAAGGCAGACAGACTAGCAGAATAAGGTCAGCCAGCGCCAGATTACCGAGGTAGATCTCAGGGACGGACCATCGGCTTCCCTGGAGCAAGAACACTAGCAATACGAAAGAATTTCCCAGAATTCCCGTCAAGCACACGGTGAAGATGTACGGTGGAATAATGGAGTAGACTAGCTGCCACTCTGTTGAGTTGAAAGAATCCATATATGATGGAGTGACGGATGCATTTGGAGGCTGAAGTGTCGCCATCGACACGAGCTTTTCCGGCTGCATCTAGAAGATAAAAGAGCTGCAGAAGACAGATCTCCTTTACTTTGGGTTCACATTTGAAATCCATTAATATTATGCCTTGAATTCATTTGAATCACATTGGCTACAAGTCATTTCAACATCTTTATTGTTGAATCTCATAACTTTTTAAAAAATCTTTAAGGAAAACATACTTCTGATGTACATAAGTGTAAATTCTAGCTTACGGTGTCTTTCTGTGGTTCTGCACTGACATTACACTGAAATATATTGGTGTAGGATTTACTAATTGCTAGTAAATTTCACAAATAATTGCTAAGAAATGGCATGTAACTCATTGAATTAAATATGTTCTTGTAAAACATGCTCTAATAATCATTATTTATCATTTTTACAGTGTAGAAATTTGGTGTCTTATCCATTTTTTGTCATTCAAACTCATTGCTTGTTCTCAGGTACACAAATAAAATATTTGATCTTTTTTAGCAGGTAATTTATTTAAATTGTTTTATTTTTTTATTATTTATTTTAATTTGACATTTGTATGATTTTGTCAATTATTATCTTTTTATTTATTTATTTTTTTAGATCAGCATGTAAATCCCAATTTGGGAAATTTTGGGATTTATTGTTTAATAAAATGCAAGCACAATTTACAAGCAAAACATTTCATGAAACTTTGTTTTTGTTTGAAAGCAAACAAAATATCTTCATTGAAAACGAAGACGAAAAGCATTGTGTCTATGCCTGATCTAATGCAGTGAATGATGTTTACTAATTGTGCGACAAAATCATCCAAGTACTTTTTGAAGCCACTTTAAATCATAATATATACTTACCTTTACAGCAGGAGTAGTTTTCTTTGCGAGTTCTTCCGGTGGACTGATATTCCTCACTTTATCCTCCCGATCTTCTTGTTCTCGTTGAAGGAATGGTCAGTGAGAGACGGAGAACGGCTCAGTCTATACGAACACATTCCTCCACAGTCATCGAGCTCCTGCTGAGGCAGAATCTGTTTATACTTCAGACTTCATCTTCCAGAGTTCAGCACACAAACACTGTTAACACACTGAAGAGAGATAGATGAAGACTTCAGAGAAATGCAAACACAACGTCTGTGGGCCCAAACTCTGGATATTGTGCTTGATGTATTTGCGGATTGGTTTGTTTCCTTATTAGAAAGTATTACTTCACATAATAGAAAATAAAATGACACAAAGTTGGGCAGTTGCGATGTCAAGCAGTGTTACATTATTCTAATCTATTTTTATACACACAGTTTTTATGAGATCATATTAATTGAGAGATGAAATATTTGTACTTCTATAAATTAATAGATGGATGGATAAATGAATTGACGGATGGGTAGATTGATAGACGGATAGATGGAGGTATAATGGGTAGATTGATTGGATGGATGGATGGATGGATGGATGGATGGATGGACAGATTGATGGATGGATAGACAAACTGACAGACAGATGGATAGATAGAAGGATAGATGGATGGATTTTGTGTTAGATAGATAGACAAACAGACAGACATCCAAGCACTTTTTGAAGCCACTTTGAATCATAAATAATATATGACTTTACTTACCTTTACACCAGGAGTAGTTTTCTTTGATAGATAGATAGATAGATAGATATAGATATAGATGGATGGACAGATAGAAGGATGGATTTCATGTTTTATAGTTAGATAGAGTGGTATAAAGTTTCAGCTATTCTACGTTGTAAAGTACTCTTGTAATGCAACTCTTCTACCAGCAGAGGTCGGTGTGAGATCTGCTTCAGATCAGTTTCTGCTGTGAGAGACAGTGTGTGTGAAAGCGGAAGCAGCTGATGAGTGTGTGTGGAAGCTGATGAGTGTGTGTGGAAGCTGATGAGTGTGTGTGGAAGCTGATGAGTGTGTGTGGAAGCTGATGAGTGTGTGTGGAAGCTGATGCTGTGAGAGAGAGTGTGTGTGGAAGCTGATGCTGTGAGAGACAGTGTGTGTGGAAGCTGATGCTGAGAGAGAGAGTGTGTGTGGAAGCTGATGCTGTGAGAGAGAGTGTGTGTGGAAGCTGATGCTGTGAGAGACAGTGTGTGTGGAAGCTGATGCTGAGAGAGAGAGTGTGTGTGGAAGCTGATGCTGTGAGAGAGAGTGTGTGTGGAAGCTGATGCTGTGAGAGACAGTGTGTGTGGAAGCTGATGCTGTGAGGGAGAGTGTGTGTGGAAGCTGATGCTGTGAGAGAGAGTGTGTGTGTGGAAGCTGATGCTGTGAGAGAGAGTGTGTGTGGAAGCGGATGCTGAGAGAGAGAGTGTGTGTGTGGAAGCTGATGCTGAGAGAGAGAGTGTGTGTGGAAGCGGATGCTGAGAGAGAGAGTGTGTGTGGAAGCTGATGCTGAGAGAGAGAGTGTGTGTGGAAGCTGATGCTGTGAGGGAGAGTGTGTGTGGAAGCTGATGCTGTGAGAGAGAGTGTGTGTGGAAGCTGATGCTGTGAGTGAGAGTGTGTGTGGAAGCTGATGCTGTGAGAGACAGTGTGTGTGGAAGCTGATGCTGAGAGAGAGAGTGTGTGTGGAAGCTGATGCTGTGAGAGAGAGTGTGTGTGGAAGCTGATGCTGTGAGAGAGAGTGTGTGTGGAAGCTGATGCTGTGAGAGAGAGTGTGTGTGGAAGCTGATGCTGTGAGAGAGAGTGTGTGTGGAAGCTGATGCTGTGAGAGAGAGTGTGTGTGGAAGCTGATGCTGTGAGAGAGAGTGTGTGTGGAAGCTGATGCTGTGAGAGAGAGTGTGTGTGGAAGCTGATGCTGTGAGAGACCGTGTGTGTGGAAGCTGATGCTGTGAGAGAGTGTGTGTGGAAGCTGATGCTGTGAGAGAGTGTGTGTGGAAGATGAAGCAGCTGATGAGTGTGTGTGGAAGCTGATGCTGTGAGAGAGTGTGTGTGGAAGATGAAGCAGCTGATGAGTGTGTGTGGAAGCGGATGCTGTGAGAGAGAGTGTGTGTGGAAGCTGATGCTGTGAGGGAGAGTGTGTGTGGAAGCTGATGCTGTGAGAGAGAGTGTGTGTGGAAGCTGATGCTGTGAGAGAGAGTGTGTGTGGAAGCTGATGCTGAGAGAGAGAGTGTGTGTGGAAGCTGATGCTGTGAGAGAGAGTGTGTGTGGAAGCTGATGCTGTGAGAGAGAGTGTGTGTGGAAGCTGATGCTGAGAGAGAGAGTGTGTGTGGAAGCTGATGCTGTGAGAGAGAGTGTGTGTGGAAGCTGATGCTGAGAGAGAGAGTGTGTGTGGAAGCTGATGCTGTGAGAGAGAGTGTGTGTGGAAGCTGATGCTGTGAGAGAGAGTGTGTGTGGAAGCTGATGCTGTGAGAGACCGTGTGTGTGGAAGCTGATGCTGTGAGAGAGAGTGTGTGTGGAAGCTGATGCTGTGAGAGACAGTGTGTGTGGAAGCTGATGCTGAGAGAGAGAGTGTGTGTGGAAGCTGATGCTGTGAGGGAGAGTGTGTGTGGAAGCTGATGCTGTGAGAGAGAGTGTGTGTGGAAGCTGATGCTGTGAGAGAGAGTGTGTGTGGAAGCTGATGCTGTGAGAGAGAGTGTGTGTGGAAGCTGATGCTGTGAGAGACAGTGTGTGTGGAAGCTGATGCTGAGAGAGAGAGTGTGTGTGGAAGCTGATGCTGTGAGGGAGAGTGTGTGTGGAAGCTGATGCTGTGAGAGAGAGTGTGTGTGGAAGCTGATGCTGTGAGAGAGAGTGTGTGTGGAAGCTGATGCTGTGAGAGACCGTGTGTGTGGAAGCTGATGGTGTGAGAGAGAGTGTGTGTGGAAGCTGATGCTGTGAGAGAGAGTGTGTGTGGAAGCTGATGCTGTGAGAGAGAGTGTGTGTGGAAGCTGATGCTGTGAGAGACCGTGTGTGTGGAAGCTGATGCTGTGAGAGAGAGTGTGTGTGGAAGCTGATGCTGTGAGAGAGAGTGTGTGTGGAAGCTGATGCTGTGAGAGAGAGTGTGTGTGGAAGATGATGCTGTGAGAGAGAGTGTGTGTGGAAGCTGATGCTGTGAGAGAGAGTGTGTGTGGAAGCTGATGCTGTGAGAGAGAGTGTGTGTGGAAGCTGATGCTGTGAGAGAGAGTGTGTGTGGAAGCTGATGCTGTGAGAGAGAGTGTGTGTGGAAGCTGATGCTGTGAGAGAGAGTGTGTGTGGAAGCTGATGCTGTGAGAGAGAGTGTGTGTGGAAGCTGATGCTGTGAGGGAGAGTGTGTGTGGAAGCTGATGCTGTGAGGGAGAGTGTGTATGGAAGATGAAGCTGTGAGAGACAGTGTGTGTGGAAGCTGATGAGTGTGTGTGGAAGCTGATGCTGTGAGAGACCGTGTGTGTGGAAGCTGATGCTGTGAGAGAGAGTGTGTGTGGAAGCTGATGCTGTGAGAGAGAGTGTGTGTGGAAGCTGATGCTGTGAGAGAGAGTGTGTGTGGAAGCTGATGCTGTGAGAGACCGTGTGTGTGGAAGCTGATGCTGTGAGAGAGTGTGTGTGGAAGCTGATGCTGTGAGAGAGTGTGTGTGGAAGATGAAGCAGCTGATGAGTGTGTGTGGAAGCTGATGCTGTGAGAGAGTGTGTGTGGAAGATGAAGCAGCTGATGAGTGTGTGTGGAAGCTGATGCTGTGTGAGAGAGTGTGTGTGGAAGATGAAGCAGCTGATGAGTGTGTGTGGAAGCTGATGAGTGTGTGTGGAAGCTGATGCTGTGAGAGAGTGTGTGTGGAAGATGAAGCAGCTGATGAGTGTGTGTGGAAGCTGATGCTGTGAGAGAGAGTGTGTGTGGAAGATGAAGCAGCTGATGAGTGTGTGTGGAAGCTGATGAGTGTGTGTGGAAGCTGATGCTGTGAGAGAGTGTGTGTGGAAGATGAAGCAGCTGATGAGTGTGTGTGGAAGCTGATGCTGTGAGAGAGAGTGTGTGTGGAAGCTGATGCTGTGAGAGAGAGTGTGTGTGGAAGCTGATGCTGTGAGAGAGAGTGTGTGTGGAAGCTGATGCTGTGAGAGAGAGTGTGTGTGGAAGCTGATGCTGTGAGAGAGAGTGTGTGTGGAAGCTGATGCTGTGAGAGAGAGTGTGTGTGGAAGCGGATGCATCAGAGATTAATTGTAACTTGGCAGACAAATGTTACAGACAGCGACAAAATGGCTCACACATATTGTATAATAGCACAATAAGTGCTATTAAAATTTTCCTGTTATGAGGTTTAGTGCCTCTGCACACACTGACCTGAAACTGTATGTGATGGTATAACATTTTCATATTGTGATATTGCTGAAGGTTTTATCACAGTATACGGTGTTATCACGATATTGAAACAAGTTGCAAAAAAAAAAGTGTTGTTGTACTATAAGGTTTAATAACTTTTTCTTGTAACTAAAATAACTCAACATTTAAATACAATATAAAGCAATAAGAATTTTTTTAAAATATACAAATGTTTCAAGCAGATTAAAGTAAAATACACTGAGTCTGACTGAAGTAAATTGTATATGCACTGAACAACAAAATGAAGGTAATACCCATAAATCCTAGCACTGAAGTAATTCATTTTTGTGTGTTTGGTTAAAACATTAGGAGGTTTTGTATTTAGGGTTTGTATCATGGGCGTAGGTTTGGTCTCAGCTTTGGTGGAGACATCCCATCTGACCCCCCCCCCCCCCCCCCCCATCTCATCTCATCTCATCTCATCTCATCTCATCTCATTATATTGTATCCTGACCCCCGATACACCATCCTGTATACTGTCAATAAAGAGCTAGTATAACTGTATAATCTCAAAAATGCACTCTCAAAAAATAAAAACCTGAGACTGTAATGCTGAACAACCAAACATTTTATTTAACATAAATTATTATGTATCTTCTATTCTATATCAAATTCTATTGATATATTCTATCCTTAAAAAAAGCAAGTTTAACCCTCCTACCAGATATTGTTATTTGGAT